TGAGAGCTTGGAAAAGTTTCGGCAGGAAGAGACTATTGATCCAGAAGAGGATATGAACAAACTAGATGACAAGGAACTAGCCAAAAGGAAGAGCATCATGGATGATCTCTTTGAAAAAAACAGGAAGAAGAAGGACGACCCAGATTTCATCTATGACATTGAGGTTGAGTTTCCACAGGATGAGCAGCTGGAGTCCTGTGGCTGGGACGTGGAGTCAGGTGAAGAAATCTGATTCTGGACAAAGATGTCTTGGATGGGCAGTTCAGATACAAACCTCACAGTCCTAACGGTGAGAATGGTGTCAGCGTATGTATTCTGCTGCATCGTTTTCAGTTCACACCATTGATGCACATTACATTGGCCACGGAGAACCCAAGGCCTAAGGTGCTACAGCAGTTCCAGGTATAAGTCATCTTTGTTTAAGAAGCCAGACTTGACGAAATTGAAATTGGACAGCTGAAATTACTGGGTGTTTTTAGTCTTTTCCTATGTATGAGTGCCTAAATAATTTTAAATTATGTATCCTTTCGTTCATTTATTTTCTGTCAGCTTTGGCTGAAACCTCATCAGCTTGCCTTGCTGTGATTCTATTCAGCTTCATCTGAAAAGGAAGTGTTAAATATTTATGTCTTGAAAGCAATGTTAAAGCTTTATTGTATATGTATGGTGTTTATTATTAGTTGTTGGAATGTTAAATATATACTAGTCTTTCTGGATGAATCAATGTTGCATTGAGAACATTACTCTCTCATTTCCCGAGTGATGCTTCAATCTCCAGCTTCAGCTTGCACAAATACAAATCCTTGTATTTAAGAAACACAGTATCTAGAAAGTAAGTTAGTCTTGAAAGTACTTTTGTAAATACAGTGATTTCAAACTGATGAAGTGAGGTGTTTTGCTTCCTTGTACTACTAGGCGATGCTTTCTTAGTAAGTGCTCAGTTCTGGGAAAATGCGCTTAAACTATCCCCAAAAAAGTAGTGTGGTAGAAACTCAAAGAGTTTCTAGACTAAACGTTTTTAGAGTAAAACAAAACCTTTACCCCTGCTGCCTCATCAGACTGCAGTTCCTGGCTCACTCTGAACAGTGCCTGACGTGACACGTAAAGCTATGGCAAGAGGTCCTCCATGTAGTGTTTTAATGGTCACTGAGAAATTCATCTCTGCAAACAAACATTTTACTTATCCCACTGAAGTTTTTAATCCCACTGTCTACCTCAGCTGGTTTGTACTAGCCAAATCCTGCTCTCTTGTAAGTATTGGAAGACCAAGTTTAGGATTCTTTAGAAAATTATGTGACTCCAAAAGCTTCCCTTGTTTTGGCTTTCTGAATCAGGGTGGCTTGTGAGGGTCGTGAATGGGATGGGCCTTCACCCTAAGTTGAGTGGCCTCAACAAACTCATGCCTGAGGTAACTAAGAGGAGTTGTAAAGTGCCTCCAAGACTAATTTATTTCCTGTCTTCCTTCTGGCAACCACAAATGAAGTAAAACCTGTCAATTTTTACCAATAAGACACCGTATCGTAGCGCAGAAGGTGAGGTTTGGAAGAGCTCTCCTCCAACACACTGAAATGATAGAGCCAGTTCTGTGAAAAATCTGAAAACAAGTGTCAATTAAACCACTGTACTTCGTCGTCCCTGGAGAAGATGAGTGAGCTTATGTTTGTCCAAGGGAGGCTTCAGTTCAGAAGAGGAATGGAAGCCGATGCCTCATTTGCCAAAAATGAAAAAAAAATAAAGCCTGACTCAGCTCTTCCACCCAGAGAGATGTGTGGGTGTCCGGCACAGGCCTTTCTCTGTTTCCAGCCAAAAATTGCAACATAACAGCATTTAAAGATCTCACACTTGGGTGAGAGGGGACCCATGGGGACCTCTCCTCCATACCCAGCCTGCACCTGGCTTTGTCCTAGTGGGGCTCAGAGGATGGAGCCTGCACCCCCTCCCTGGCCATGGCCATCCTCACCAGATGAGGTCTAATGAGTGCTGAGTTGAGGGGCTGATCACCTCCCTGGATCATGAAGTTACTTCTGGCCCATTCCTGCAGCCCACCCCGGTCCTTCAGGACAGCAGCCCTACCCAACAGGTCCTCCCAATTTGGGCTCATCTGTGAGCCTGACATGAAGGCACTCCATGGCTTCCTCCAGATCATGGACAAAGACATCAAACAGGACAGATCCCAGATCGGACCCGTACCATACGTGTCTTCTCACCAGCCTCCTGGTGCATCTTACTAACTGCTACCCTCTGTGCTTGATCATCCAACAGATTTTTACCTGGCTGGTTGCCCATGACCATGACATCCTCACTTGGATTCAAGAACGTTGTGGGACACGGTATTGATTGCTGAACTGGAGGGAAGTGGTATCCACTGCTCCCCCTTGCCTACAAATCCAGCTGTTTCATCGCAAGAGGCAAAGCAGGTTGGTCAAGCATGACTTACCCTTGGTTAATCCACACTGACTGCTGCCAGCCACCCTCTTCTAGAGATGTGCTCCAAGAAAGCACACTCCATGGTTTTCCCAACACTATGGTGATGGTCCTGTTGCTCCCCAGGATGTCCTTTTAGGCCATTACTGAAGATGGCTGTGACATTTGCCTTTCTCCAGTCACTGACCTTACAGGACCTCCCCGATCTCTGTAACCTTGCAAAGATGACCAACAGCAGCTTTGTAAGGATGTCAAGCACTCTCAAAGTAGAAGCTTGTCTTGTTGCCCTGACATGCCTTCCAGGTGCCAGCTCTGGGCAAGCCTTGACTTTGCCAGCACTGTGGCCCCATGCCCGGGCGAAGCTGCTGACACTTCGTATGATGGAGGAACGTCCAAGTATCCTCCACACCAGCTCAATATGAGCAACAATGCCCGTGATTTATCCATGGTCCAGGTGCCCGGGTTCCTACCTACGTGCGTGCCCCACAGCTGCACCCCACGTCCCCCCAGCAAAAGGAGAAGCAGCAGCGGCCACCACAGTGGAGGAAGCACACACATCCACCCCCTGAGGCCGGACTCAGCACCCAGAGCAGGGGGAAATGGCCCCAGGGGCATCCTGCCAGCGGGGAGACACCGAAGCGCGTCTGCAGTACCCAGTGCCGGCGCAGACCCACTGGAGGACCCCATAGGGACATATTTATAGGTCACTGTTGTCCCTCGGGCGTGAGGCTTACGGGCAAAAGAACGGCTGAAATAGGTTGAGGGATTCCCCAGCTGGGGCCTGATTTGGTTTTGTCTATTTTGATCTAAAATAGGACCAGAAAGCAGCCGTTTTCTGAGACAGATCTGGCAGCTGGGTTTCCAGAGCCTGGCCAGCACTTGGCCCTAGTGGTGCTGCTGGCTGGTCCAGCATGGTCCAACCCACACCGTTTTTTCCAGCCCAGCATAGCAATCAGCCATGCAAGGCTCACCAACGACCCCGCAGCACTTGCTCCAGCTCCATTTTGGCCCCCCAGCTCTGCCGCAGCCCATCCTCACCTGATGGCTGCCTGCACATTGAGGCAGCAGCATCTCCAAAAACAGGCAGGGATGCACCGCTCCACCTCCAAGCCTCCCTCCCCGCTCAGCACCATCCCCGCGTGCTGGCGCCATGCTTGGAGATTGCTTCACCACTGCAGATGCAGCCGGTGATGTCTGGGCTGTGGCTGACCCTGGTCCTCATCCCCACACCTGCACCAGGGAGGATGCTGCCCTGCTGCCAGCTTTGGTTCCCGCTGCCTGCGCTGCCCCCCAGCATTACTCCCAGCCCCACACCAGCCCTGGGCATCTCCCTCCACCACCTCCCAGGACAATGCCCATGTAAGGTGGAGTGACATGGGGCTGGCTCCAGCTCAGCCCACATCGCCCCACCGAGCTCATCTGAGTCCAGGCAAAGACAAGCCCCCATCATGCCCACGCTGGCACCGCCACTTGCTTCCCTGCGCCCCGTGTTCCCATTAAATGCAGACACTGCGTTTTACTGGAGACTTCCTGACAGTGCTGCAAGAATAAAGCTGCTCTAGTTCTCAGCAGGGCTTTTGAGTTAGCACAATCCACCATCACTTTCTCGTTTCCACCCACAGTAACCCTCCGAGGAACAAAGCAGCACTTCCCCAGGTAGCACGCTGCTGGTACGGGAGAGCCAGTATGTGCTGTGACCAGGGCTGGGTGGAGGAAACCTCACCATGCTGCTGGAGCCGACAGCCCACAGGAGCAGGGCTTGCGCAACAAGGAGGAAGGCTTTCTCATCTTTTATCTCCTTTGCATCTGTTTAATCCAGCAGTTGCTGGAGGAAAAGAAATTGATGATAAAATATTACCGCCCATATAATTTATTCTCGTGCCTTTTAGTCAATATTTTATATCATTGCAACATGGGCTATTTTTAATGGGCTCTTTTAGCCGGGATCACGACTTAACCCAGGAATGACACCCCAAAACATGTTTTTCAGCCCTGCTGACAATGCCTGTCTTATCATCACACGCACACAAGTGCATGCCCAGGGCTGCCTGTGAGCTTGCCGGTGCCAGCAAGAGCGGCAGGGGTTTTTCCACAGCCACAGAGACCCTCCTCTGCAGCACCCAGACAATGCTTGCTCCAGCCTGGGGCAATTCATGGAGGCTGGTTGTAAAGCTGGAGGATGTTTCACAGCAGAGAGTTGGCTATGGGGGTGAATAAATAAAAGGAACTGCCTGAATGCAGGCAAAAAATAGCACTGGGGGGCAACTGTCCGTGCCCCTTTGGCCAAGAGGTGTTCAGTGTCACGTTTGCTTGGCTCTCACCAGCTGAAGGCTTCTGCTGAAGACATGTCCCTTGAGGATGCCCAGCACGGCCCCAGGCTCCACCACCGGCCACGGCCCCGCAGCCTTCGGGTACCCTTAGGGCAGCTGTAGCAGGAACAGCAGCTCTCCCAGCACCCCCTGGTCCTCCAGCCCAGCAAGTCTCCATCTCGCCCACCTCAGAGGGATTACCACCTGTAATCCTGACAACCTGCTCATGTTCACCGTTGCCGAGCCCTTCCTCCTCCTCCTCAGCCATCAGTAAGGGTTGGAGACTCCGCACCGGCTTTTCACCATTTTCAGCAGCTTTTGCTTGAGCATGAGGAAGATGACAGCGAAGGCCACCAGGAGCGTCAGGCAGGTGGGCAGAGCCAGCACCAGGTAGAGGAGTGCCAGGTCGGCCATCTGCCAGCGGCAGCTCCGCAGGACAGGCTCGGGCAGCGCCCTGGGGCTCAGCGTGCGGGAGGAGTAGCTGCAGGTCACCTCCTGCCCATCGGGGATGTGCAACCCTTTGACTCGCTGCAGGGCGTCCCACCAGCCCAGCGTGCAGCAGTTGTAGGGGCCCCCTGCAGCCTCTTTCCCAGCGGCGTCTGCATGACATCCAGCGGGAGCACCGGGAGGCAGTTGTCCCGCAGGTCCAGGCTGCGCAGTTTCAGGACGCCCAGCGAGGTGGGGAAGACTGTCAAGGAGTTCCCCGACAGGTCCAAGCGCATGAGGCTGTTAAAGGCAGAGAAGTCCACTGCGGTGGAGGAGAGGCTGGTGTTCCTCAGAGACAACACCTGCAGCGTCAGAGCAAGGTCCTGCAGCCACTCCAGGTCCCCGGACAGTGCCTGATGGTTGTCGGAAAGGTCCAAATGCACCAGCGACGTGCCCTGGAAGGGGTGGCCGCCCAGTCCCCGCAGACCACAGCCGGCCAGGGAGAGATGAGTCAAGCTCTCGACACCCCTGATGTCCACGCAGGGGGGACTCCCTGCCTCGCCTGCGACAGCTGGCTGGGGACAGAGGTCGACCCGGTTGTAGCTGAGGTCCACGGTAGCGATCTTCCTGGTGTAGGTGAAAACCCCAGGAGGAAGCACCTGTAGCCTGTTGGTGCTGAGGTTGAAGAGCTGCAGGTTGGGCAGGATGTCCCCGGCGCGCACCTCTGCCTCCAGCTCTGCCAGCTGGTTCTGGCTGAGGTCCAGCTCTATCAGCATGGCTAAGGGGTCCCCCTCCGACAGGTGAAACATCTCTAGGCAGTTCTGGTTGAGTTTCAAGTGGGTCAGGGAGGGCATCTGGGCCAGGAAGCCCTCCGGCAGGTACCAGACCTGGTTCTGGCTCATGTCCAGGAGGCGCAGGGAGGAGAGGTTGCTGTGGCAGATCTCATCCCAGAGGCTGACCGTCGTGACGTTGGTGGAGTTGCCATCAATGAGCAGGAACTGCACCGTGACGTCTGCCAGGGATGTGCCGTTGGGGAGGCGCTGGTAGAAGCTCATCTCGTTGTCCTTCAGCAGCAAGGAGTGCAGCTTGCTCTGTCGAGGCAACACAGGGAAGAAGAGGAGGCGGTTGTGGGACAGGTCCAACACCTCCAGCTCAAAGAGGTCATCACTTTCTAGGGCCAGAAACCACTCAATGATGTTGTTGCTGACATTGAGCACCCTGAGCTGGGTCAGGCTGAACTCCACTACACACGGGAGGTAGTTGTAAGCTATGTTGAGCCTCTGCAGCCTCTGCAGCCCTTCAAAAGCTTGGTCAATCTCAAAGATGTAGTTCTTCTCCACGTTCAGCTCCAACAGCTGTGTCAGGTTTGTGAAGACGGATGAGTCCAGCCTCATGATGATGTTCCTGGCCACAGACAAGGACTCCAGGGAAGACAGGTTCCAGACCAAAACCGATACCATGTCCTCAGTGAGCCTGTTTCCAGATAGATCCAGCGTCCTCAAGGCTGGCAGAGCAGAAAGAGCAGCTGCTGTCAGCGAGTAGTTGGTGAAAAGGAGGTTGTCTGCCAAGGAGAGCACGTGGAGGCCCTGGCTGCTCAGGAAGGCGCCTGGCTCGATGAGCTCCAGCCGGTTCTTGGTCAAGCCAAGACACCGCAGCTGGTGGTATGAGAGCAGAGAGGCATTGCCCAGAACCTGGATAGTGTTGTCATCAAGCAACAGCTCCTCGGTATCACCTCGAAGATTTCCTGGGACGGAGCTCAGCCATCTCCCAGTGCAGTCCGCGGTGCTCTGCACCTAAGGCAAGAATTGGATACGTAACGCCACTCTGAGAAGCGGCAGATGGGGGGAGATGAGGAGGGAGAAGTTTGGGGAGCAGAGTGAGGATGGAGGAGGTGGCTCTATGGTTAGAGCCTCAGCACCCCGGTCCACTCCTTAGCTAAGTCAGTAGCTAGAAGAGTGAAGGTCTGGAGATGCTGAGGTGCCTGGACTTTGCAGGGCAGGACCAAGCAGTCGGAAGGGTGAGGGTTTGCAAGAGAGGACTTACAAACTCGCAGCCGCCGGGAGATGTTGCCCAGGCTGTGACCGCCCCGCTTCCCCATCCCACTGCCAGGAGGACCAGAAGCAGGGAGAGACCAGGGAGTGGGGCCTCCATCTCAGTGGCAGCACTCCTACAGAGATGGAGACAGAAGTGAGAAGGTCAAAAGCTGCAGACCGCTCATCCCAAAAGGCCCAGGTTTTCCCAGGGAGCCCATCACAGCAGTTGTGATCCTTGTGCACCGCTGGCCTCCTGCCCACGGCTGCTGCCTGCAGGCAGGTGTGCAACTCCCTTTGTTGCCCCCAGGAGCACCCAGAGACAATGGGGTCCCAACATGCTGTAGAGGTGGCCACTATTCCCCAGGAGACCTGGGCCACCACAAGCTGCACACGGAGAAACGCAAAGAGCCCCAGCACTGAGCCCGCCCACCCCAGCAGGAACCCTCGTGGGGGTCCACCAAGGAGAGCCTGGAGGGCAGAAGAAAAGAAAGGACCGGGAGGTGGCAGCCCGGTCCCTGCGCAGGGCAGCGCATGTGGGAAAGGCACCCTCGTTATTGCACAGCTGCTCGCAAATGCCACTGCTGCTGCACACGGAGAAACGCAAAGAGCCCCAGCACTGAGCCCGCCCACCCCAGCAGGAACCCTCGTGGGGGTCCACCAAGGAGAGCCTGGAGGGCAGAAGAAAAGAAAGGACCGGGAGGTGGCAGCCCGGTCCCTGCGCAGGGCAGCGCATGTGGGAAAGGCACCCTCGTTATTGCACAGCTGCTCGCAAATGCCACTGCTGCAACCCTCGAGCAGAGGCTTCCCCCCTGCCAAGGCCCGCTGCCCCCCCCCCCCACCGCCACACCCT